GTTAGAGCTGAGCCTGTGTTCCATGTTAACCCAGAGGTCTATGCCTTGTCGGCTGCCGGAGGCTCATCTCTGAGAACAGTGGTGCAATCACTCCCCGAGGAAGAGGTGAAGCCCAGTGAAATAGCATCTGCCTCTGGGCCTGCAATCTCTTTGCCTGATGCTGTCCTGGGTGCCTCAGACCAGGCAACTGAGGTGGGAACATCAGTTGTCCAGCTACCACAAGACCACCCACTATGTCCATGCTGTGGTACCAGAGTGGGGAAGATGGCAGCCCTAGCAGAACATTTAAAGAGGACCCATGGCCATCAACGAGTCCTTTATCAGTTCTCCTGTTGTGGGAGAACAAAGGAGAACCATCATAGTATTGCCTGTCACTTCCCAAAGTGCCGTGTGCTTCCAGCTGAACCAGAAGAAGGACCCTCGGAAGTCCCAGTGTGGCAGTGTGAGGAATGTGATCGCAAGTTTAAGACCAAGAGCAGCCTCTCTCAGCACAAGAGACATGTGCATCCCGTCAGGAGGAACCTGGAACGATCGAGCAGTCTCTCCCTAAAGGACAGGGTTTGAGAGGTATGCATAAGAGCTGCTGGTCTGAGGAGGAAACAGCGCAATTGATTGAACTTGAAGAGAGATTTAAGAATATGTGCTTTATTAATAAGCAGATTAGTGTCCACAAAAACGCCAAAGCAGATCAGTGATAAGAGACGGCAGCTGGTGGCAGCAGGGAGGGCATCGGTGCTGCCAATAAGAGCTGATCCAGCACATGGAAGGGACACACACACTGAGATAGAGAGAGTGGAGGGTGTGAAGAGGAAATACAGGTGAGGGATTGGGGAACAAATCAGCCCTGGCCTCTCCTATCCTTGGTGGATATTCTTCTATACTCATGAGTACAGATAAGAATTTTACATTTCCTGTTTTTTAGCAAAGATTGGAAGATCAAGGCTTCCCTTGGAAGGGAACAGTAAAAACCTTCACGCAGACAACAGAGCTTGCTGTATCTTGTGGAAATGCTGACTTTTGTTGTTGCCCTGCTCCCTTGTGGTTGATCTGGAGGTTGGGACAGTAACATTTTCTTCCCAAATGATGCTGTCACCCGGCTTTGTCAAGATGGACGGAGTGCCTTTCCAAATTCAAGGGGAATTCAGCTGTTTAATTAAAGTTAAAAGCATTGTGAAGGCTCATGGCAGGTGTTGATGCAATGTGATTTCAGCCCAGTTCTCCAACTGCCAAAGTGAAGAAATTCCATGAAGTGTGGCTAAATGGCAGGAGTAACTGTGACGCTCTTAAGAGGGGATCTAGTTACTAGGCTTAGCTGCAGAGGCTACACCTCCTCGTGGTCCTGCTGGATGCCCATTCTTGGGCAACTGAGTTAGCCTCTGACCCAGTGTTGTTTTTTTTTTTTTTTCTTTTTTGGCATTATAGTTACTTCCATCCTATCAACTGGCTTCACTGAGCACTCAATAGTAATATGAGGTGAATCAAAAGTGACTCAAGCAGGAGAAAACAGCATATTTGTGTGTGCAAAGGCCTTTGGCTGAGGGCTCACTAAAGCCATAGCAGTTGAACTTGGGGGCTGGTTCTTCTGGTCATATCCTGAACCCTTGCAGACATGTTAACCAATCCTTCAAGATCACAGGGTGTCCGTTCTGTCTCAGTTGCCACCCAGACGGGAGAATTATCTCGTGAAGTCATAAGGGATATCCCTACAGCTGTCTCCTCTGAGGAGGTATATCATCTAACTCAAAGCTTGACATTCTATAACTCGGACTTTGTCAGTTTGGATGGGAGTATTCCTGAGTCATCCCATGATTGCCTTAAAGACCTGCCGGAAGTTTACGAGGTGCTGGAACCTGCCAGATCACTTCTGATGACTGGAGACAAAAGCCCTCTGGAAGACAAAGTAGAAGATGGGGGGCTGATCTCTCCCCCTGTGCCCACAACCACTTTTTCAGATGTGGTTAGTCCCATTCTTCGAACCCCAAGGAGAACAACTGATGTGGGAACACTGGTTGTGAAGGTCCCTGATGAACATCCAGCATGTCCATGCTGTAGTTTCAGGACAGGAAAAAATAGAAGCGTTAACAGAGCATCTGAACAGGAGCCATGATCAGCAAAGAGTCCTCTATCAGTGCTCCTGATGTGGGAGGACTAAAGAGAAATATCACAGTATTGCCTGCCACTTTCCGCAGTGCCAAGGGGCGCCAGTTGACCTTGAAGAAGGAGCTTGGGAAGAGCCTGAGAAGTGGCAATGTGAAGAATGTGGCCGGCAACTTAAGACGAAAAGTGGCCTCTGGCAGCATCATAAGAGATCTGTGCAGCCAATGGCTAGGAATCTGAAGCAGCCTGAGATGTCTCCTCCAAAGGAAAAGGGAATGAGAGAAATGCATAACAGCTCTTGGACTGAGGAAGAGACGACTCTATTGATTGAGCTTGAAGAATGGTTTAAAAATATGCCCTGCATTAACAAACTGATTGCAGAACATTTGCCCTTAAAATCGGCAAATCAGATCCGTAAGAAGAGACGCAAACTCAGGGAATTAGCACCGCTGAGAAAAGCGGAGCAGTTTCACAAAGAGGACAGACCACTGGAGAAGCAAAAGGCAGAAATGGTCAGGAAGGTATATAAAAATGTGGCTGAAATGATGAGATGGGGAACCCTTTCCTCCACGATTGCATTTGAGAAGGTCCTGGAAGATGATGAAGACCTCCTGGAGACCATCAAAGAGAAGAAGAAAAGAAAAGAAAAGAAAAGAAAAGAA